GAAGATCCATTCAGCCCATCAAATGGAAGGAAGAGCACGTGAGTTTCCGTCTTTCTTTCTTTTTTTCCTTTGTTCCTCGATTTTGTTTTGCTTTAGGGCTTCAATGTCTAGACTTTGTTTTTCCCTAATTGGTTGACTAATTTCTATTTGAATTTTTCGATTTGTGAACCGCAAAGGTACCACAGTCAAAGGTGTGTACTGTCATTGTATATGTTAGATATTGTGCTCAGTACTCTTTTGGAAACCATACCAATTGGTGTCCATCTCGGCCAGAGGCTCTAGTTCCTGTCGCCACACCTTTTCACCCCCAGAAGCGGGTTTTATTCCTCAGCCGGAAACCCGACCACAACCCAGAAACCATCGGCAGGCCCAAATCGGTCCGCGAACCACGGTGCGTGATATTTAGTCGGTGTAATCCACAATCAGAAGTAACGAGATGCCGTCGAGAGGCGGGACAGACAGTGCTTCTCTCAGCCATGACCTCCGCGAGCCCCGGGCATTAATCTCATTTTCTCTTATTTCCGAATTTCAACATTTACTGTGTTTGTTAATTAACAGTTAGAATGGCAAAATATGGGATAGTTGGAGTTGGGATGATGGGAAGAGAGCATCTCATTAATCTTTACCACCTCAAGAATGAAGGTGTTGTCGTGGTCGCTATAGCCGATCCCCACGTGCCTTCCCAACACCAGGCCTTGAATCTTGCAAACTTGTTCGATTGACCAATTCAGGTCTTCTCCAGTCACAAGGCGCTGCTGGATAGTGGGATATGTGATGTGTTGATTATTTCAACTCCAAATATGACTCACTTTGACATATTGATGGATATTATCAGTCACCCAACACCCCACCATGTCTTGGTGGAGAAGCCGCTCTACACAACTGCTACAGACTGCAAAAAGGTCATAGATGCTGCTGCGAAGAGACCGGACGTTCTAGTACAAGTCGGGTTAGAATACAGATACATGCCGTCTACCGCTAAATTGATTGATTTGGTGAAAGATGGAGTTTTGGGACGAGTCAAGATGGTTTCCATTCGGGAACACAGATTCCCGTTTCTAGTCAAGGTCAACAATTGGAATCGTTACACCGGCGGTACACTAGTGGAAAAATTCTGCCATTTTTTTGATCTAATGAGGTTATTTTCCGGTGCCAATACAGTCCGTGTCATGCGTCTGGTGGCGTTGACATAAATCATAAAGATGAAATATATGATGGAAAGGCGCCTGATATAATCGACAATGCATATGTAATTGTTGAATTCGAAAATGGTGCTCGGGGTATGCTTGATCTTTGTATGTTCGCTGAAGGCAGTAAAAATGAACAAGAGATATCTGTTGTTGGTGACCTTGGTAAGGGTGAGGCATTTCACATTTGTACCAGAGAGCATTGTTCGCTGGAGAACATGAGTAGAAGGGCGAGATGGTGTTAAAACACTGAAAGTTGAGGATGTTCGCATAAAATACAATGGACTGCATCACGGTTCTAGCTATTTGGAACATTTTCAATTTTTGTTTGCAATTAGAGCAAATGGTGCTCAAGCTCCAGCTGTGAATTGGAAAGATGGAGTTGCCGCGCAACTGCCAATAGAGAAGGGTCGATTTGTAACAATGGATGAGGTCATGTAGAAAGCTCGAGGGGTGTGCTTGCTCTGAATAATCAGCTTTTTACTGTAAACTTTTACTTGTATGTGGTGGGGCTTTTCTTTGGACCTTGCTCCTGGACTTGAAGTACAATATGTTACAAAAACTTTGAAGATCATTTGAGATAATTTTTGGTTTATCAAAAAAAAAAAAAGTTATTGTGCTCAGTGTTCATGTCGTTTGGTGTAGTCTTTCAGGTTCGAATGAACCTTTTGTTTAGGGGTGAGCATTATTTGGATAAAACCAAAAAAACTGACCGAACTGAACCGAATAGTGTTGTTTGGTTCGGTTTTTTTTTTATTTTCTAATTCGGTTCGGTTTTATTTTTTA